ATTTAAGTAGATTTTTAAAAACGCAATTAAAAGGATCAAACATCTAACTGTCAGCGTATTAGTCTGGTTCTCCTCACAGCCGAACATTTAAAGCTGTTGCCATGTCTTAATATGATGCCCACTTGCCAGTAAAAATAAATATCTGGGAAAGGTGTCAGAATCACCATTAATTATGATTTTTAATTAAAATCTAATTAAAATTCATCTGATAGCTTGAAAACATACCAAATCCTAGTCTACCTTCCTCTCTGGAGGTATCAACCATGGCTGCATCCCCAGCCCCAACCGACCTCCAAAGAAAAGAAGTTATAGACTTATGTGCAACTTACAGCCTTTTATTGATTATTTAAGAGGTTTCCATCTTAGTGGTTTTGAAGGTTTTTATAGCACCAAACAAAATATACAACCCTCTGAAAATATTTTATTATTGCTGTACAAACTAACCTGATTTTTGTCTTGCATTCAGGCTGTCATTGTCTGGCACACAAAAGGAAAAAGGGCAAAAATTATTTTTCTCTCTTCTCTAGCTGTTTTTGGCAGCTGAGTTTTTAAAGTGTAGCTCCCTGCTGATGTATGCTATTGAGTACATCTTAGGTAATAAGCAGATATATCAAAAGATATCCAGGGCAACATACCCTGCTGAAAAACAAGTGATTACTTTTCTCTACTTCTTGCAGATAAGCAGCTTCTGACATATGCATCAGGAATGTTTTTTTTCTAGTGCACTCTCTATATAAGACAGGTAAATGTTGGTATTCTGTGGCCATTTTACTCTTTAAAAAGAGTTTCTTTGTAGTCTTAATATAAATTGTGTCATAAAACTGAACAGCATTACTTGAATTACTTTAATTTTCCTTACTGTAGTTCCATTGACTTATGTTGTCTGCATTCAGTTGTAGAGAATGTTTTATGTGCTTATTTTTCTTGTCAGTTTGGTTTTGAAACCATGGTGAGCCAAATATGAGTGTATCTGTTGCTGTGAAACAAGAAGATAGTCCCAGCTCCAAAAAGCCTCAGATTTTGTGTATAAAGCAAGTTAGGAGAGATTTGTATTGATCCAGGGGAGGATTGCCAGTTATTAGGCTGGAGAATAGCCTCGGGAAATCACACAGCATTGCTGATGACTTTTTTTTTGACATTATGGTGAAAGATGGTTTGAAGGAAGATTTAAAGTAGATTTGCTAATAGTCATAGAAAATTCTAGTAACTGGACATTGGATGATATCATGGGTTAGTGAGAGAAAAGCTATTTTTGTTGACAGCTTTGTGCCCAGAGGCTGTTGTAAATCTGAATGTACCGAATGAAGGATGGTATATTCAGTGCATAATGCTTTTCAGGGCCTTGAAAATGTAGAGAAGTGACTTCTGCTTGCAGGGACTGAGAATGGAGTAGAAGAGAGCTGTGGAGAGAGGCAAGAGCTGGTCAGAGGGGTGGCCTACATGGATGATCTTTGCAGGTGCCCAGAGGGACTGGATATTGCAAAGAGTGTACTATAGTATAGTAAACCATGCCTTTTAAGACATGCTATGAGAAGAAATAGTGTAAGGTTTAAACATAGTTTGGAAAGAGCACACAGAGTAGGTGGATAGTGATGCTCAGGTTGGGAATGGTTTGAGAGATGGTGAAATTGTCGGTGGTGATTTTTACTGGGGGAAATTCTAACAGCTGTCTCCAGTTAGAGGTAATGGTGTGGCATATGTAAGAAGAGTCTGTGCCTTCTAAAAATAAGTCTCTACCTCCTGTAATGTAAGGAGGTGTATTTTGTTAAAAAAAAAAAAAAGGCAGGAAGATTATAATCTCATTCTTGTTTGTATTCTTTTGTAAAATATCTTCTTCCATTACCACCTTATACTTTTTTTTTAAGGAGTCATTAATTGTGTCAAAAGTGAGGCTACTGAAAAGGCTCACCTTTCAGTATCAAGTTCGATTAGGAGTTTATCCTTTTTTTCAAATGGGAGAGAAAAAAAAACCTGACAGAAGTGCTATTGCCTTTAGTATAATTGAGCAAAATATTAGCATATCCTCTTTGGGCAGTGCTAGAGTTGCTCAGCAGTATCAGAGCTGAAAACATATGCTGCTGCAAATGCAAACTTGTTTTTGTTAAAATACGCTTTAATGTGGTGGACAAATTCATGGTACCAAAAATAGGGACCCTCTATATGGTGACGATTGTGGGATTTATTACTCTGTTATTTAAGGTAATGGTATGTTGCTAGGTCAGGAAAAGGGTCACAGTTCTCAGATACAGCACAGCCTTAAGAAATACTCAGAAAGACCAACAATTGCAGAATGTGAAACAAAAATAATATCCAGTCTTGCTCATAAGGTTCTAATTTTCTGGAGTTATGCTAAGTGTGATAACAGCTTAGTCCCGAAGCACACACAGAAGCTCTGTTCAGCATTCCCAGGCCTTGGAGCAGTTGAACTTCCTTCCTTAAAGTGGAGAGTTTTATAAAAGCAAACACCATGTTTCTGAGGCATGCTGGAATGACAGAGTCTTCTCTTTGCAGGTCAGACATACAGCAGACAGTGACAAAGTCTGTGTTCCCACGCTGCCTGTGCCATCTGCTGACATTGTGAAAAATGTCCCTCTAACTGTTCATCTAACGCTAAAAAGCTATCAGCATTCTGAATTTTGAGGTCATTCTTGATACAGCTTGGTTCCTAGGCTCTTGTGGATTAAAACAACACAATTTTGTATTGTCCTTTTGATGTGTCATGGAAAATGACTGGCAAAATTTACCCTTCTTGCAGTTGTGTGAACTCTTGTTCTATTTTATATAACAGCCATTTAGAGATGTTGTATTCATCATCTTAATTCGAAGAAAAGGGGTTAGGCCATTGAATGTTCAATCTGAAATAGGGGCAGACAGTCACCATTGTTTGTCTTATTCTATTAAGTAACTGTCAAGTAATTTGTTTGGATTATTTCTGAGATTACATAGCTGTCACCTTGAAATCTTCATAATACAGACAGTATTTTAAGGCTGTTTCCAATTTTTTTCCCCCCAAATTCAGATGCTGCCTATTTTAGTCTTCACTTGAACTGCAAGGCAAGTGTTTAAATACATACTTACCTAGACTTAGAGCTGCTAACCTAGGTGATCAACTGCAGTATGCTATGTTTATAAGGTTTAACGTGCTATTAAATAATAGGGACATGGAAACTTTAGATACCTTTAGGTAAAGGAATTAAAGTATCAATTGGCATGCTTGTAGATACATAATGCTGCGAAAATAGCCACGTGATTTTGGGCAATACACACTCAAATTAAGTGAACAGGTAAAATATAAATTACATTAAAGAAAAAATACTGCCAAAATACTTAATTGTTTTATGAGTGTTGGTCTTTGAGAAGCAGTTGTTAGGAGACCTGTTGGTTTTCATTATTTTTTCCCAGCCACTTGCTATCATTTGAGGTTTCAATTGCTGACACAGAATTGGTGGATAATTAGTAGTGTGGCTAACTGTGAAAAGCATATGTAGTCATTTAGTTCTTGGTTCTTTCTAATTGTCTGCCCATTGGTAGTTTGCTAGGGTGAGTAGCTCATTGTTCAAACACTTTAAATGGAAAGCACTGTAGAATAAAAATGCTCTTATTAGTAACAAGGTATTGAAAATAAGAACTTTTCAAACAAACAAACAAACCACCACTTGACAAATCTATCCCTAAAGCTGTTGTTCACATGCCATAAGGAGATTGGGGTTTTGAGGGGGAGAGAAAGAGTTGGGTTGGTAGATAGCATTTATTTTATACTGTATCTGGGGTAAAGATGTGCCACTCTTCTGAAAGATGCTAAAGGTAAATGCAATAAAATATATTGGAATACATCTAACTGGGCAAGCTTCATTTGTTAAAGGTAAACATCTAAAGTTAATAGGCATAAAGGTAAAATCTGTGCTATTAATTAGGGTTGACCTTGAGGTCATTTTGAACCTCAAACCTGCAAACAAATTTTACAGTAAACATTTTGACTTGCCTGCAGGACTGCTTCCTTCTGAGTCTAATGTCTTCTGAGGTTGTTAATCCCTGCTGTTTAATCCACTCATATTGAAGTGTGCTTGGAATTTAAAGGCATGATGCAGTATTTGTGTACAGCCTCCCTGCAGTCTCCACAACTCCCTCATTCTAGTTCCTTTCTGTGAGACTTCCCTTTTCTATAGCCTGTGACCAGAGAGAACCTTCGTTATTAAGCTGTATTGTACTGTAATTAGAGATTTAACGTATATCCTAGACAACAAAGAGTGTTTTACAGACACTGGGGCTTAACCAGAAAGTTTGATCTGAAATATAAGGGCAGATATTTCTGTTAAAAGTTTAAATCGTTGTTTTAACATTCAAACCTAATATACCACTTAATGTTGCCACAGAATTCTATGTTTTCATGGTAGTATGACTTGAAGGATTTGATATCTCACCTGGAGACACTTGCCTTTTCTATTATCTTATTTTCTCACATATTAGTAGATTTGTTCATCAAAGTTCATCATCTGTCAAAATATACTATTTCATATGAAAACAAAATGTAGCACCATTGTTTGGGTCAAGTTAATTTTGTCTGCGCATCAGATCTCCTCAATCTTTTCACATAAGCTAGAAACAGAATGTAAAATTTAATGAGGTGGGAATAAGTATCTGAATATCTTCATTTCTGTAATTTTTCTTCAATCATATATTTTACCAGTGTAACAGTTCATTGCAGTCAAGCTTACGCTTCAGATAATGTTTTTTTCCAATTGTTTACTCCAGTTGCAACTTTAAGGTGAAGAATTCAAGTTGATGTCACGCTTTGTACTGTAATTTGGTCAAGATCTAAATAGATGTTCCCAGCTTGCATCGTGCCTAACAGCTGATGAATGTGAATTTCCTGTTTTCAAATAATGTGTTGTCATCTACTTCTAATCTTCATGCCTTCTTTTGCAAAAAAAAGACAAAAACCCCAACAAAAACCAAAAATGCAAAGTTTAACTTTTTCTTCTCCACTTTTTTTTCCACAGATTTGACGAGCTTGTGAAGAAGTTCAAAGTAGAATATCATGCTGGTGGTTCTACTCAAAATTCTGTTAAAGTGGCCCAGGTTTGTTCTTCCTTTAAAAAGTATTATTAATAATTTCAAGTGTTCTAGTTTGAATCAGCTTGATGTTCCATATTGACTGTTTCATCATGAGCACTGCAGAGTGAGTGATTCTGTTGCTCAAACTATGCTTATAGTTCTTTATGTGATTTATTTTGAGTGCTCTTTAGTCTTTCCCAACACATGTTCTGTTAAGGTTATAGGTACAACTAGAGGGTGAAGGGCTTTTCCCAAAGATGCATGGTGGAAGGATAAGAGGCAAGGACAAGGTCGCAAGGAATCTTACACTGAGGAGAAAAAAGTCACAGTGAGAGTGGTTAAACAGAGATGTTGTTGAATTGCTGTGCTTGGAGATTTTCATAATTTACCAGGATGAGTCCTTGGGCAACCAGATCTGAATTTGAGGCTAGCCCTGCTTTGGGAGGTGGGTGGGACTGGACACCTGCAGAGTTCCCATCTAGCCTGCATTGAAATGTAAAACTTTCCTTTATATGAGGAGAATATTCGTTATACCCATTGCCAGAAACAGGAGTAACGATGACTTTGGTTTCAGGTATATTAACTTTTCTATAACTCAAGTATACCATTTGTCACAATACTTTAAACATATACCTGTGTGCATATTTATAGATTGTGAGAGATGTAAGAATCCTGTAAATAAAAAGATACAAACAGTACTTTTTTTTCTAATGATCCTGGCTTGTTAACTTCCAGACTCCCTATATAGTTAAAACTTACTGCCAGATAGCATTAAATGAACATTTGGAAGAAATAAAGTGCTAATTTAGCAAAGGCTGCCCCCACCAACAAAAAGGAAAAATTCATTATAGTAATAATCACTGCTCCTTTCTACAAAGTACTTGCTGCTTCTTTACTAAGGTTTTCATTTTCTGAAACACCGCGACTCATTCTCAATTGTCTATTAATCTATCAGTCCAGGTATTGTTCAATAATTATAATATGTAGTATATATATAGTCAAGAAAATGGATGAAATTGAAATCAATTAAATGTAGGGATTTCTATGTCGATACTCTTTCTTACACCGATTGGGTTTTGTCAGTGAACTTTTGCTTTATCTTGGCTCAGAGTTGGGAGCCTCATTCAGCTCCAGTTGCCATCTGGAATTGTATTTGTCTCCAGAAGGGTTGTCATCTCCTAGTTTCTGTTTCAAATAAGATTGAAACTTAAACAGTTGTGCATGAATAACATAACATCACTAAGAGACTTTAAAAAGAGGGGCGGGAGGGTGAGAGAGAGAGAAAAAAAAAAGAGAATTCTGGAAATCTTGAAAGAAGCTGTTATTCTGTAAACTTTAGCAGAAGACAAAAATGTGAGGGTAGAAAAAAGTAGTTGAAATGTAAACCAAAAATTAAACTAGTAATTCTGGAAGACTTTTTGCAGCAATATTCATGGGCTTATTTGAGAGAGTAAGTGTGTAAGTAACCTTAGAGCTGAACAACTTATATATCTATTTATTTGTTGAAAGTAATGGGAGAAATTAAAGACTGATTCAGGGAGCAAAATGTTCAGAGTGCTGAGGTAGCCACACTCAAAGTGAATGTGGATCCTCTGCAAGAAGATGTGGGGAAGTGATCCTAAGAATATGACTCTTGCTAATTTCTCAACTTGTGTTACATTATGGGAAAAGCTTGGAAAAGTATGCTATAAAGTGAGAGATAAAGCCTAAAAACCAATTTGCTTCAACTGTTTAAAAGTTGATGACAAATAATTGCGTGTTAAAGAAAGGCATTGTTGGAAGGCTGACTGCAGTGGAATACAGCGGTCTGAGGAGAATGGTTGGAAATGAACAAATAGCCTCTGAAGCCTGGTAATTGCTTCTTTAAAAGTTGATTTTTGAGTGGGAAGAGTTTATTATTGAGTGTAGTAGGAAAAGTGAAATTAATAAAATGATTGGATTAAAAAAACAGGAAAACTTAGGAAGCAGTTCAAAGGGTCATTGGGTTGTTTGTTTCAAATAGTTGTCATCTTTAAGGGTCAGAAAAGCAAAACAGTTTTGGAACAAAAGTATCCAAAAGCAAAATGGGTGGAGAAACTTACAGTGTATAATATGTATAAGAGGGAAAAATGAATCTATTTTATGCTTACTGACATGGTGTATGGTGATCATCTCTTCTTTTACATATGCTCACATATACTGGAGTTTTCCTTTGTATCTGCAGGGATGGTCAGGTCTACTCAGTAAGTACTGTCACTCTGTTTCTGAAAAGGATAAGCCAAAGTCTCAAAAAGAAAAAGACTTAGAAATACTATATTTATCATACATGAGAAATTTGAGATGGTAGTCACAGAAAGAGGCAATAGGAAGAAGTTCTGAATTATGAAGAAAACTGGGAAGAAAATGAAGTTTAAATCATGGGGTTTGGAACTAAAATTTAAAGCAGCATCAACTGGAAATGAAGATTTTAGAAGTTTACAAAGAATTAACCAGAATTGCAGTCAAACTGTGAAGAGCAGAATTAGGTATTTTTTTCCTAGCATGTTAAGGGAAAGGAAAGATCTGAAGTTCAGCCTTGAAGAAAGAATTTGGCTGGTGTGGTACTAAAGGGAATCTTGGTATTCTTTCAATGTTGTCTGGCAGCAGAGCAGAAGGAGAGTGTGTGTCAAACTGCAGGAGTGAATGACAGTCGGAGAGCATCGTGAGAACCAAAAAGCTGAATGTTGGCTGTGTTGGCTGCCCAAAGCAGACATTATGTGGACAGGGTCAGAAAAAGAGAAAGGTCTGGACATATTGGGGACAAGATAAAGGACTTTTTTGTTGCAGAAATGGTTCTAATGTTAAATGGTGAAAACAGATTTTCCACAAAATGAAATTGGTAAAAGAGAGTACCTAGAACAACATGAAAATATTGGAGAGCAATACTAAAACTTGGGTGATTGAATGTTTATGTTCAGGTTTTCTGAGATATTCA